AAATTATTAATTATGAGGTTAAATCTCACCCTTTCCAGCACCTCTTCCAAGACAGCTTGACTTTCCAGAGTGAGTGGTTGCTCATGGATGACAGCTTGCTTTCCCGGGGTGCCTAGGATGTAGCTGAGATGGCACAGGTCAGATCATGCACAGATTCCCACCCTGAAGCCAAAATCCAAACCCAGCCCTCCTCCAGAGCCCTGAGAGACAGCCATGGATCCTGGGGCTGCAGTGAAAACTGCACAGACACCGAGAGCAGGGCAGGGCTGGCTGGGAGGGAGAGGCAGCATTACTCTCCAGGAAAAGTGCCATTCTGCAGCCAGGTCAGTGCTTTAGGGAATTTTACTGCCAAAAAATAAGGTATCATAGCTGTGGAATTAAGAAAGAAACTAAAAGCACCGTCCAGAGCATGAGGGTGAACATCCGCAGCAGTACAGTAAAATGAATGGGAACTTCAGAAAAAAACAGAGACATTGAAACTAGTTCAGGTGAACACTGTCCATCAGAACAATGCTTGCATAAAGGAACTCTGGCACAAAGCCTTGATTCACTATATGGTTATTGAACAATACCTTAGGACCACTTTTAAGTGCTATAAACCGACTAAACCCAAGCACACTTTCATTTTCTAGACAGATTTTAAATGGCTGAGAGAGAGCCTCAGGCACATCCTCAGCTGTCAGATTTGCCTTTGCTCACCCTAGAGACAGAGCAGATGGGGCCAGCACAGGGCAGACCTGCCCCGAGTCCTGCCTGAGCCCCTCTGGCCACGCTGCCTGCTGGCAGTGCTGACCCCAAAGGGGCTCCAGACGGGCCTGTCTGGTGCTTGGCTTGTGTACTCCTCAGGGAAAATGAGAAGGAACCTCTCGTGCCCTGGACCTGCTGGTATTTGCTTGCCAGGAATGCAATTTCTCATACCAAAGGCAGACCTGGCTGGTTTGGGGTGGTTTTTTCCCTAGGATTTGCCTTACACAGTGATGTTCCTCAGAACTGAGCACTGTGATGCCAACAGCAGCAATACAGAAAACCCCTCTGGGGCAGAGCAGCCGAAAAAGCCACCTCTGCACTTCCCAGAGATATAACAGGAGAGCCCTCAGTGCAATGCCTGTGAGTGCAGTGGGGCTGGCACACAAACATTCTGTGCTTACCTTTCAATGGAGTCAATAGTGAAACAGAACAAATCTCTCTTGTAGTCCAGGCTCCTCGAGGTGCACCTGTAGATGCTGCCAAGGATCTTTGAGCAGCCAGAGCAGAATAAGGTTTCTACTAAGCTGTAATGGAGAAATAACATTGATTCAGAAAAAAATAAAAGGAAGCACCTCACCCCATCCCTTTCCTTAAAAA